GCTTTCTTTATTCAACTTCTTGCTCATTGGGATACATCGCTCCCGACCTTGGAGAAAGTGATCCTTGGATACTAATCATATTTTTTGGACCCCAGAGCTCTGTAATCCTCTTTGATACAAGACTTAAAACCAAAATCCTACTAAATTGCCACTTCAATACATTCTGCAGTATTAATGCTTCTTCCAGCATAAGAGTGAGCTTCTCCATAACATCCACTCGTGAATTTGTAAAAACTGACGCAAACACACAACTGGAAGCATTGCAGTGCTATTTCACTCCTGAACACCTTTACACTTGTGTCACAACTCATAGCTATCAGAAAGAAAAGGGATGAAGGCAGACTGGAGCATGCCTTTAAGTGAGTGCAATAACATACATTTACCTGAAGTATGAAAACACAATAGGAAAAGCCAAAGTCTCTAAATGCACCTGTAGCTTACAACACAAAAAGGTTCAAACAAAACAGAAGATGCTTAGTCAGAAATGTAGAGCAAATTCTTTGTGTTTTGGTTTTTTTCAGAGGTTATTAGAAGGGGGTTAGACATCTAAGACAAACATTTAAGATAAAGTGCAAGAGCACAAACAGATCTATGAAACAAGAGGAACTTCTGAGACCAAAGCACGAAGTAATTTTATTTATTTTAAGCAAGGTGAACTCTTCAGAACATGCTCTCAGGGAAGTAATGAACACTGCTTAATTCTCTTCCTCAAACAGCCTTAACAGATTTACTGTGGTTTACAAAAGTTAAAGTTAATAACTTACTTATTGAATGTTTACTCTTGCGATGTTTACAGCTACAGTTTAGGAAACATATTTTAAGAAATAAATTACAACAGAAAACATTACTTGACAACTACAGAGAGATACAGCCTGCAAATGGTGGACTAACCCTTTTTATTATTTTAGTGGGAACAATACTGAAAGTAAGCTTTGAATTTTCCAAGATTAATTCAAAAGACAAATTATTTTTAAGAATGCTTTAAGCATTCAAGTTATCACAGAACTGCCCAAAGGCTCAAAGAAAAGAAATACAATAAAGACCATCTAGAAGAGATATTAACAACATATTTAATTCTCTAGTATTTACTTATATTATTTACTTACAAAACATCTATATACATATACATTTTGCTTCTGTAAGTCCGTTAAACTGATAGGAGATGAGATCATATCCAAATATTAACAATAGAAAAAGGATGATTACTTTTAAAATATAGATTGTAGATTATCTTTAAATATTTATTTAAATTCTAAGGCAAATTAAATTTACTTCGTAAAATGTTAAAATCAAATATATAAAATATTTTTCAAGTTAATTCAGTGTTATTGCATGCTATTCTACAATGCTTCAAAACAGTAATATCATAGAGGTGCCTGTCTCAATCACGAAGCCCATTCTGAACAAAAACCACTCTAAACAGGATAAGGTTTCCAAGGCAAGGCTATCCTTTAAGAACTCTCTCAGTTAGAAAGTATCCCAGGCTCTTTGCTGCCTTTATTTCAGGAATGCAATCATCCAAAACATATGTGGCTAAGCGTTATTACAGATTTTTTATTTTTTATTTATTTTTTTTTTAAGTAACACCATCATCTATTTCTGTTTATTTAGTTAACTAATCCAGGCAGAAACCATGCAGCAACTGAGAGAAGAAAGTATGTACCACTATTAAAAGTAATAATGTGAAAGAGAAAACAATCTCCTTTCCATAAAATAGCTTTCATTTCTAATTAACTGAGCTACAGGATAAAAAAATCTCAGCACCAGTTGTGGTAGAAGGCAGAAATTCTGCATATATTTATGGAGATGTTTGACAGCTTTTAGAATGACATGTGAAGACTTATTCAGAGTGTAAAGTCTATTCATATCTCCAGGATAAACAGAATAAAAAAAGTCACTTCTTTTCCTCCAGAAAACTTAAAAATAAGTGAAGGTCTTTGACAGCTATTACAAAGACTTTTGGCATTCATTCTCCTAACACAGCCTTTCCAGAGCTGTCTGACTCTAAATAAGGTGAAGTACCTATCTGAATACACTTAAAACACACAATGCACATACTGTCTTTAAGATACAGTGTCAATACAGCCTTTAAGAACCTCATTCTCATCAATATGACACCTTGAATCATGCATTTTCTGGAACATTTTCCATATAAATAGTATATGAAATACACTAAATTCTTAGTTAACAATTTGTATAACTTTTCTTGAACTACAACTTAAAAGTCTATTTTTTTTCTGCTAGCATGGACTCAATCAAAGATTTACCAAAAATATAACTTTCTTTTCCCACATATTACACTGCAGTCAGAACTGCCCATCTTGTTTTTTAAAATGATACAGTACAAAAACACAAACTGACAGGCAAAGCATACCAGACTGATTCACAAGAATCACCTAATTCATAAGCAAAAAAACTGCCCAAGTCCCACTGCATAGGCTGTGTTTCAGTGTAGTATTTCTTGCATCACTTCTCCTGCTTTTATTAAGAGTATTTTCTTCCTTTTATCTTATTTCTTTGTACGTGTTTGAGAAGATTCTTTTTCTGTGTCCAACTACTTGCTTTTCACAGTTATTTCAATCTTCATAACTTCCATCACACAACTCATTTATCCGATTTACTTGATATTCTTTACTTTCTGCTTTTCTTGAATCAACCTTCCTTTCTGAAGGATATATATTTTAAAAAAACTCTACTGACTGAACCAACCCCATTATACTGTGCATTCTTTATCACTATTGCCTACCTCTGACTGTAACTTCACCGTAAATTTAACCAGAGAATAAAATCTGCCCAAGAAAGCTCTCAATTCTCATTCAAGAGTTAATGATCTTTATGGAACTCTTTGCCCTCTGTATATTTTCCCCAGGTCAATACCTTTAACTGTCAATGCTAGACAAGAACAGAATAGCTCTAAAAAGTAAGCAAAAAGTCACCAACATTATGTTGTCAATGGGCTTGTACTGCTATAAAAACATCAGAGCCATCAATGAAAAGGGTGATTTGCATGTATTAAAAATACATACATATATATATATATATATATATAAATTCAAAAGGCATTGAAACTACAGAACCTTTTAAGTTCTTCTACAGTCATTGGCATGCAGCATTAGTGAGAAATCAGGTTCTGAGACAGTCATTCTTCTGGTGTGGTTACTACCACTAGTTGAAATGGTGGGGTTGAGAGTCAAAGTAACATGCAAGAACATCATGAGGAGAATTTGTTGCAAGGGTTGAAGAATAAGCTGAATTGAAATAATTCTCATAATATCATCATGTTATGATGATATTTATAATGCTATGCAACACTTTCAGACTGAAGAATTTTTCATTTGACAGAAGAATCTTATTGGGCTGCATATTAAATTTTCCACTTAAAATTTGTTTGCTTTGACAGCCCACAGGCTGAGTGTTGTTCAGCTTGCTACTCAGCTCAGAAAAACAAAATCTCTATGGCTACAAACAAACAAATATGACAGGACACAATGGCAATTAGCTTTGCATCATCCAAATTTCACACTTTCGGTTTGCTGCTGTAATAAATTAAGGTGTATTTAAGAAACGTTTTGTTGTTTTCAGACAAACTCATACCTGAATCATCCCCTTATTGCAAAATCCAAATATAGAACTAGCCCATACAACTACTATACAACTACAACACAACCTGTCCTCCTTCATAATAAGGAAATACCAAAAAAACAAATTATGCCTCCTATAGGAAGGGCGTAACTCTCAAAGAGAAGAAAAGGAGAATGACCAACAAAGAAAGATTATAAGAAAAAACAAGAGAAGAGAAGAAAAAAAAAAGAAAAAAAAAGCCAAGACACTAAAGCTACAAATAACATCAGGCTCATTAACGGAGTGACAACAGAAACATGAAAGTTCAAGGAAATATTTTTGGTCATTTGCTTTTAGTTAGCCCCTCTTTCTTAACCAACTTTATCCTGCTGGGTAAAGGACACACACCACACCACATCGATTTTGGCATATTAGTAAAGTAGAAAGATAGCCACAATTAGAATGGAAAAGATCTTGTCATCAGATCTGTTGACCACCACATACTAACTGCAACCATTCTGGGAAAAAGGATGGGAGGTGTGGGGGATGGAAAAGCAGGAAGAAACCCAAAAACTCCTCTCACCAAATGCAATTCTAGCAGCCAGGAACTAAAGCCCTCTACAGAAGGAAACTTAAATTGCTCTGCCTACTGTGGGGAAACTGTTTCTGCTTCAGGTTACAGCCCTAGCAGACTGTTACTAACTTGTGAGTTACAAGCAGCCAGGTTACGATTGCATAAATAACCATAGTTACTTACTAAAGGTAAAAATCTACAAACAACATACCACATTATATATTTGCATTGAAACAAAACACAATCGTAACCATATGGTTTTCTGTTTACTCTCACCGTAGTAATACTTCCGTAGAAGTCAGAGGTAGAAATCACCACCCTGTAGTGTTTTACAGCATCATCATTGAGATGCTACAATAAAATAAAATATTCTTCAGAAGACTACTGTTGATTACCCACAAATTAGTTCACCTTTTAAGAAAAGATATAGTAAATCGCTTAGCTTAAGTCTGTACTTTCAGTAAGAAGGGCCTGATTGTATATAAATGTAAGTAGAGGAAAAAGTGGCAGCCTAACAAGTCTACTACTTAAAAAAAAAAAAAACACTCTTTGGATCAATAGTTAGATCAACAGCATTTTCTTCAAAAACTCATACAGAAGTCTCTAACACATTAGCAGCTCTTCCAAGAGAGTGTATTGATAGCAATTTACAAGTTACCAATACTATCCAACACACTTTACATTGTGCAATGCATTCTAGATAGAGGAGTCACCCTTATAGCATTCAGACTCATCCTGGTTTGCTGCTCTAAAAAACAAAATTTCTACTGAATTGAAAATATGAAGCTTTTAAAGCTAAAAACAAAGCAAAACAAAATTCATTGATAAATACGTCTTTATTTTGTAAACAAATGTATTAACTTACTTAATTGAGTTTCTGAAGTGGTCTTCAGCTGGGTTTTTTACTGTACAACTATTCAGCAGCCATAAATCTGCTTCAGCAGAGTTCTCTAGGAGACAAAGACAGTAAGCCATATTAAAGAACTATTCGAACTGTGAACTCATGATTTATACCATATAAAAAAAGACCAAACCTACGAAAAAGGCCAACAAGTTGATTATTCACAAAAATGACTTTATACTCAACATATTAAACAACTATGTTTTTGGAAGTTGCATACTTATTAAAATGAAAAGAGGAGGAGGAAAATAAGAACACACTTCCATGAGAGCTTATTTTTTGCAAAAGAGGAATGAACCGGTGTCCCACTTATGGGCTGAGAATCCTCTAGGTTACATCTCACAGAAGCAAACTTCAGAAAAAATGGTTGCTCCTCCTGAAAATGTTCTTCCCTAGAAAGATCTGGCCTACACACAAAGGCAGAAGGATCACAAAAACACATAAAGGTGCTTTAAAAAGAAGTTAAGCAAGTGGTCAAAAAAGCTGGTTTCACTAACAAAATGCAATCAGTGCCTCAGTCCCGCAAAAGCAGCAAGCCAGAATTTGCAAAGCATGACCATCTACTAAAGAAGGAAGTCAAAGTGGTATATTTGGAAAAAAAATATGCCTATTTTCTTTATAATTCTATCTTACTTATGTTATAATCAGAGCAATCTTTAGAAAAAAAGGTATTCACAATGAATACCTGCCTCTACTCAGGTAAGAATATAATTTGCATCCAGAACCAAGCATTTCTGTAGATTCAAAATCTTGTGATATCTGAATATATTAACAGATTCTGGTCATAGATTTATCTTCAGAAGTTTTCCTATAAACTCTAATCCTATAAAACACAACTATGTTACAGAATTAGTAAGATCAACATTTTTCTTCTGAAGCAAAAATTTAGTGGAATTAAGATAGTCCATCTCATACTGAAGTGCTCTAGCATTCATCAGAAGAGCTTACGCTAGTTTTATTAAAAAAAAAAAAAAAAAAACACTTCTGTCGCTATTGGTATTATTCAGAATCTCTTGAGTATTAAAGCATTGAATGAGGTATTTTAAATAATATAAACCCAGGAACAATGAATAAGGCGAAAACATCATTTTTAGAATGCCTTATTTGAACTGACATCCTGCTAAAGCAGAAAAAAAGTTTGCAAAGATTTAAGCCCACTTACATATGTGTTCATCATGAATTTATCCACATAAGCAAGAATAAATATCCTTTTCCTCCCATACAAATACTTACAATTCTAAATACTAAAAATGAAAAATCACTTGACCTAGGAAGCACCAAAAATGCAAATAACACATGAAATAGGAACCGAAGGACATTTATGTTAAACAAGAGAAAACGTTTATAAGTTTTCTAATCTTTGTTGATCAAAATTCCACCATTAACTTGCTGGATCAAGCACCAGCCCCTTCTACACAAACAAAGGTTACAGATAAAGGAATAGTCAACAGCAGCACTCAGGCCTTCAGCTATTTTTAATCCTATAGAGATCATTCCGAAATCTGATTCTGCCTCTTGACAAGCTGGAAGAGAGGGACAATTTCAATTTTACTCTATCCTGAGGTCAACACATAAAGTGAACAAGCCAAAGAATTTCTCCTGAAACCCAGACTGCAGCAAAACAATTTGGTACGTTCAGACTAATGAACATGAGTCACTGTTGGAAAGGTAAACATCGGTGAAAATTTGATTAGGAATGACGTATGGGAAGGCAAGAGAAGGTACGGTTTCAAAATCAGAAAAAAGATGAATTCTTGGCTCAAAACAAAGCTACCACAGGGCACATCAAATGCATTTTCAAAACACCGTTTTCTAATAATGCTGCCAAAACTTTGCATTTCGTATTGTTTCCAGCCTCATCGAACATTTATAAACATAGACTCAAGAACCACGGGGGTGCTTTGCAACAAGTGGGTGACAGGGTAAGTATCCTGCCAGGAGGCTGTGGATGCACTCAGGGGAAAACAGAAGAGCTCAGTACTAGTAGTACATCATGTATACCATGACAGTTTTCAAGGTATGGAGAGATACCTATTCCAACAGAAGGTGGCTTAATTTCTGTCCCTACCACAATCCCTCTGTATGTCAATACTTTTCCCCTCAAACCAGAGGAAAAGCCTTTACTTCAAAACAGTTTTGGAAGAACGCACACTTTGGTGCTCAGAAAGACACTCCCCACTAACACAACGGGAACCATCTCTGGTCACTTGGATTTGGGGCTATTAACCTATTATCTCCTTGGAACCTATGGGACAACTGCAACACTTCTCAAATACACCTCACTCCATTCCTTTATGGGTTTCAGCCTCTGCAATACAGAATAAAATCTTCTGAGCAGTTCAAGTAAAAAAAAAGGATCTAAAATATATATCTAAAAATAATATATGCAAAATAATACTGTTACAGTGGGTTGCTCTCTCGTTATAGCAAAGTCACTCATCACCCCTAGTTGCTCTATTGCCATGTTTATTTTTAATCTATCTCTTTTCTTATTAACTGTTATTATCTCTTACATGGTTGTATTGATATACTAGTTTTGATTTACTTGTATATACAATATTCATATGTGAATGGTACCTCCTTATTCAGAACAGTTCATACCATAGTTTTCAAAAAGATCTCTAGTCCTCTACTGTTCTGTATGTACCTATGAAAGATATCACATGCACTGGCATGGATTTACTATGGTCCACTGTGTATTTTCAACCTCCCATAAATTTTGGTTTCAAAAATTGAACTCATGAATAGGATATGAGGTTGCAGGAAAACACATTCGTTCAGGAGATCAGGGAGGAGGGACTAGTTACATATCACTTCTTGCTTTCTGAACATCTGATGCCACTTACGCTAAACCCAAGGCCTTGATGGACATGCTGAAACATGGAACGAAACCTCAGCTCAGCCTTGGATGGCAGGACACAAGGCGGATCACGGAGCCCTCTTGAATTCCAGCTACCACCCTCCGAGATCGCAGTGCAGCTGCAGTTAATTCATTCAGCAGTCTGGTGCCACCTTCCTCAGAAAACTCTGTAAGTCAAAATTTCAGCCCACAGCAGAAGAGGTCTTGGCTGAAGACCAGACAGGTCCAAGACCAGAGGATCTTACCTCTTGGTGAGATCCTCACTGATCTTACCCCAGTGGGCCATGGACCTGTCCCAGAAGGTTTTTCTAGTACGTTGTACATACCTGGATGTCCAACATGAATATGTGAATATGAATAGTGAATATGTGAAGTATGGGTGCCCTTTTCTCTACTCTGCAACAGAGCTGTTTTTTCAAAATATATCTTTCTGCAACTTTGTTTTCTTCCTACATATTCAGTCTAACAACAATTTTTAAATGACAGCATATGGCTGCTGACCATTTATTTGATACTAAGTTACACTTTCCCAGCTTCCTATATATTAGGACTTAAAGTTAGGACTTAAACTTAAAAGTTAGGACTAACCAGCCTTAAACTAACTTCTGAAAAACACAACTCAAAACCATGGCTTTTTTGCATTGTGACATCTTTTCCGTGAAAGAAAAGCTACACTGGGAATAAACCACAAAGTCTATCGTACTCTCTGCAAAACAGCATAGACTACAAAGAAACCTAAAGGTCATGGAAACTTCTGAACACTTAACTTAATTGGAAAGCTCTGGAAAATAAGAATTGACTGCATTATGCAACACTAAGAAGGCAAAAGTCTGAATCATCATTATACCTACAGAGGAACACATAAATCAGGATAACTTCTTGTTAAGCCTGCAGAAACACTATCAGTTGAAAATTAAACATTTGATTTGGTTTTTACTTGGTGTTTGGGTTTTTCTTTCTTTTTTTTCTTTTCTTCCCAAAAACTGTTTTCTTCCAACTCCCCTCCTCTGCAAACCACATGTACATAAAAATCAAAACACGCACAGAGCACTGCAGTGAAAGAAACAAGCACAGTGAAAATAACAGCCCTTCATTATCCTCTTCAGCACATCCTTCATCTTTGCATTGAAACCACTACCAGATTCACTTAGCAATGCTTGTTGAAAAGGCAGAAAATGTAATTTGTGTGACACCCTTTTAAATCCTGCACATCAACCAGCATAACTCAGTAAGATATTTCCCTGTAATCATACAAGTCTTTCCTGGGGCATTTTCCTCCATGTCTTACCCTGTTCTCAAGGCCTTTGCAAGTCTTCCTCCTCACTGTTTCCAGTTTCCTTTTCTTCTAACTCCTGCTCACTTAACGTATTCTCTATTTCCTCTATTTCTAGCTTCTCTATTTCCATGTTCTATAGCCTCTGTCTTCCCACTTTACGTTCTAGAGCAAGATCCAATGGCATCCCAGCTCTAAGTGTGGAGCACACACTCACAGTTGCAATCCATGTGAATAACCTCCCTTAAAAGGCAAAACAATGTAGGCAATACGGATTTCTCTCTCAGCCGGTTACCAAAGTCATCCAGGACTTTGACTGGAACAAAGTCAGCAAGTTTATTTTCTTATTTTCTTTCACTAGCCCTACTTCTTAGGGGCCCATTCTTAAAGCCTCAGTTACTGAAATTAGGCATTTGTTAACTTAAAATCTCCTGAGCCAATGGCATCAAAAGATCTCAGAAAATATTGGGTAAGAAGCCCTTTCATAAATATTAGCTCAGAAATGCCCTGAGGCATCAATGCTAGATATGTCTTCCGCGTCTCACCTATTTACTTCTAGATAATAGGTTTTGTTCTGGGGACATTAAGTTCAGCTATTTACTTCTAGATAATAGGTTTTGTTTGACTGGGAGGGAGATGGCCCATAGGGATGGGAACAAGGGAAGAAGGAGAATTCTTCTTCCCTTTTTTTCCTTCTAGCCCTTTCCTCAGCACACAGAATATTCTTGCCATCATTTGCTAGTTCTCCAAACTCCATACTGCATATAGCAACCACAAAATTGTCAGTGACATGTTCGTCTTAAGATTGCAAGCAAGCACTTTCCTCTTGCCTGCTCCCTCAACCACAACTAAGAATCAAACCCCAAAGCTATCAGGAACTTCCAGATGGCATTTGTTTGAAATCTGAAAGCCACAATTGCAGTTGCCACCTCAGAAAACCTACCACACATTTACCAATTACACTCAACACACAGACAAAAATATGCCGGAAATATTAACTTTTCAGACTGCAAATGTCTTTCAAAACAGCCTCGCTCTCATCTGTGGTATTAAGATATAAAATTAGAGGGTCAACTTGATTACAACATGATTTTTTTTTCTCATTGGTTTTCCAAAGTACTCTGTTCATAACAAATTACTCTGTCCACATTTAATGAAAACATTACGGCCTGGTTCATCCTGCAAGAGTTATTTAAAGACCTGATCCCACAGAGAAAGCCTGGTTGTTTATCAAGCCAAGAAATATAGCACACCTGTTCAGTAAAGAAATGCTG